CTGGATGGCTTTTGTCTGGAGCCTTCATTAACACCAGCGAGGGTGTCGAGCCAGATGTCACCGGTCGACTTTTTGTGCTTTTGCGTTTTAAAGGATGGCACATCCAGTACAGGACCTTTTCCCCCGCCGGGTCAAGGTCAAGATGTGTGTCGAGTGTATGTCATCAATCTTGGTGATCAGTTTCGGTGGCCGTGTGTCCCTCATCCATCACGCTGATGTGTTTCGCTGGCCGTGTGGCTGCGCGTCGCCGTCAGGGCCGGAGGTAATTAATAACCCCCAGTGACAGGATTAATGAGTTAACCTGCTCCACTCTCCTGCTGTTCCAGTGACAGACGCTAACGGCCAGCAGCTAGTTATCCCCGCTAATACGCCAGAGGCTCAGGTGTATAGATATGGATGCTCTTTTATTATCTATATTCATGCCTGAATGGGGACAGACAGTAAATCCAGCTTGTGACTGCAGCTGGGGCGTAAACAAAGCACTGCTGGAAGTAATCCTTTCTAGCAGGAGTCTCACCTGCGCAACAAACTGCTTTCCACAGGGGGAAAGAAAGGGACACAAAGGCAGAGCGATACGGCAGAAAGGCAGCTTGAATAGAGATCGTTGGCTCCTCAAGGCGCAGGAGAAGGAGAGACTCTCCTTGCCCTCAGGTCCTGAAAGCCGATCGCTCGGTTGTTTGAAAGAGCAGCTTTGTGAGGATGCCTCAGACTGCTCCTCTGAAGAGCGCTCACTGTCTGCTATGTCTAAAAAAGAGCGGCCGAGTTTTCATCACCCAAAGAAGATAAAGCGCGGCCTTGAAAGGGGGGAAAAATGCACTAGTTTGAACTTAATTCTCTTTTTTTGATTACAAGAGAGGCAATTGTTCTGCCTGGGCAGGCCTCGTTATTGTGTGCCGTGCGCTGGGTGTTACATTCCCGGGGTTTTTGGATGGCTATTGTAGTGCAAGTTTGCTCTCATGCTTTCAGTCCCCTGTGGGTTGGATACTTTGTTGTGTAGGCTGCAGAATAGCTTGCCTATCAGGCTTTGCATGCGGGTCACTCAAGGTGGGCTGGAGTAGGTGGGTGTGTGGGTAGATGTGGTTTTATTTGGCGGTGATCTCGGGAGCATCTACGGCTGTTCAAAGCCCGGTGTGTGTGGGTTGTTGCCAGTCAGAGGAAAACTTAGCCGAGTTTTAGTTGGCTCGCGTGTGGGTAGCTATCATTGTATCATTAGCTTTTGTACACTCCTGTTTTCTACAGATGGCTGCATTGATGGTCACGTCTTGAAGAGAAGTTCCCGTTTTCCCCTCCCCTCACGCGGCGCAACCAATTCAGCCGGCAGAATCCCCACCACACTGACAAAACTACTCATTAACTCCCACAACCCTCTCCCTCCACCCTCGCTGCCCCTTTTGCTCTAAACGTGCTTTAGCTCCGAGACAACAGGGACGGGGACGGGGCAGGGGAAAGACTGACAAAAGGGAAAAAAGACTAAAGCCAGAGAGGAGGATTGAATGAGTGAAAGAGCTGCTGGGGGAGAAAAGGGGAAGAATGCGATGTCCCAGTCTATGAGGGATTCCATTTTTTTTTTTGCCTTTCCAGAATAGAACAGTAAGTCACCAGTCTCTTTGTCTGCCTTTGATCTCTCAGCTCAGGGATTTGGCACCTGACAAACCCCTCTCTGTCTGAAAGGAGGCCTGCCGAGAGAAAGCCTAGGAGAGTGGGAGAGGGAGATAGAGGGCAGAGAGAGAGAGAGAGTCAGTAAAAAATAATAAAGGAGAGTTAGGGAGCGACGGGGGAGAAAACGGAGACAGTATAAAAAAGATGGTGTGGAAAAATTGGGTTAGACTTTTGAGGGCTGTATGAGAGGATATGATGAAAGCTGCTCCGCTCGGATCCCATAAAAACTAAATACACATGTGTTCATGTGTGTCTGTATTTGCGTCTATGAGTGGGTTTGCCACGGCTGGCCCGGACAGTGATAAATCCAACGAGTCTTAGGGGAGATTCCTCTGTGAAGCCACGGTCTCTTGGACCACCCACTACTGTGGTCTCTTCCCTCACACTCCTAATAGGAAGCAAATTCCCCGGCTTTACTCGGATATCGACCTCTCTCTTCCCTCAGTCGTTCCTTTCTGCAGGGCAGTCGCTGCTATAAACAAGCCCTCATATGTTGACATCATATTTTCAAACACAGGTCCTGAAATGCCGAGTTTCAAACCGCAGATGAAGATGCCAGAGCGCGGCGATGGCAAACGGGGATTTGGAGTTGTGCAAAGAATTCTGGGACAGCCTGGGAGGACTGTGGGGTTAGCCTGGGACAGCTTAATAATTGACAGGCGAAAAACCCATCAAGCGTGCACAGTTTGAGGTAGCCCGCTCTTAGACTGTGTCTTTAGACTTTAAAGAGGCTCAGGCCCAAAGGCTGTGAAGCATGGGACTCAATTAACTCTCCCTCCAGCTTTTAGCACGGGGGCATCATCTCAGACAGCTGGTTGACCCCGCGCTCAACTCCACACACTTTCCTGGTCAGCGCACATGTACAGACCCTGAAAGCAGCGTTGTGTTGTGTCACCTGAAGCACTCGCCACTTCTTAAACAATACCCACCCATCCCAGCTTCCAGCGATGAGACTGGCCGTTGAAGGATTGCTTCAGAGATAAAGAGATAACACACAAAGCACCTCCCAACTAATCTCTCCCTTTTTTTTTGCAACTGTGAAGAAAAGAAATGGAGGCTTCACGCACCCCTGCAGGCTACAATCAATGAGGCCCTTAGCTTAGCGTTAGCGAGTGAAGCGACAGGGATTTAGCCCTGACTGAGTGAGTGGGAACGGGCGAAGAATGGCTCAGCAGGTAGCAGCTAGCCCGGCTCGGTTAACGCCACGCCACGCTAATCCAGCTCCGAGGCTGCGGGGCAAAGAGCCTGACTTTATTAGGTCTGGAAAGGAGGGATTTCCCAGTGTTTTAGGGGGTTTGTGGATTTCCTCCGCTGTTTGTATGTGTGAGCTCGTCGGCTGCTTGATGGAATGTGTGTTTTAGTTGAAGGACGGACTTCCTCCTCGCCGCGGCGTACATGGATAGGCCCTGATTTGATTTCTGGTGTGGCGAGCAGATGTGGGAGTTTGTTTACGCGACTCCGTGTAGGATCCCTGATGTATTTATGACTGTGGCATTGAGATCCACATGCCTTTCAAATGTACTTGAGATCTGGGTTTTGTGTGTTCGGGGGGGATTATTTTACTCCAGCTGACTCCAAGTGTGTAATTATCTAACTTATATTGGGTACCAAGAGGATGTTTAGATGGTGAGAAGATGTTTTTTTTTTAATCTTACCCAGACAGACAGACCATCACGGCTCTTCTAACTCAACCCAAACCGATCCTCCCGTCTCCGAACCGTTCGCCGCCCACCTCCGAGCACACGGCGGCCCCGCTGACTGACAGGTTATTTTGTCCAATCGGTGTTGCGACTGTCTGCGCCGCACCTCTCGGAGAATTGTTCTTTTGTCCTCCTCTTCTGGTTCAGCGCTCAGGGGGTGAAATATAACCCCGCTAGGCTTCCCCAGCCATTATAGAAACGGATAGACGGAGGAGAAACTCCTTGAAAGACGAGCCCTCCAATCAAACTGTCAGTCAAAAGAAAAGCAAGCGCCGTCGCCAAAAGTAGGAGAAGTGTCACTTAGGTTACCGTTTCAGACTGAGGTGTGTGTGTGTGTGTGTGTGTGTGTGTGTGTGTGTGTGTCAGGCTCAGCAGAGTGAAAACAGCCGAGTGAGAGTGACAGAGCTCCCGGTGTGCCAAGTGTGGTGGCATTTGTTTGTTAAATGGTCTGAAATGCCAACGGCTCCGGTTTCATCGCAGCTCCGAGTCTTGCCAGCAGAGCATCGCTTAAATTTGTGAGAAAAGACAAGAGGTGGTTATCTGATCTCCTCTTTGTGTCGGAGGAAACGGCACCCTTTACTCCTGTTCTGCTGTTTTTGATAATACGACGCAGATTCGTGAGAAAGGTGAAGGAGCTGAAGATGGAATGAAGAAGACCAGGGGAGGAGGAGGAAGGAGAGGAGCAGCCTCTCGGCATTGTTTTCCTGTTGCTAATTGGGGGGAAATGGTCAAGATCACAGCATTCTCTTCTTTTCTTGCTTGGGGTAAAAAACAGAAAGGATGTCAAGTGCAGTGTTATGGCAACACGTCTCACGGCCAAAACCTCAGACAGGCGCTCAGAACGACTCCATTTGTGCTTCACGTACGTCGGTTCTGTTGGTTGGTCCAGTACACTGCTTTGGTCCTGACTAAAATATCTCAACAACTACTGGATGGATTTCCAGATAGTTTTTCCACAAACCTCTATGGTTTAACGTGAGGACTTCCCTTATAGTTTTACAGTAAAAGCAATGAATCGGTCTTTATTTATTTTGTCTAATTCTCATTTTCGTGCCACAAATGTCTCCATGCAGGAAACAATCTTGGTCTCTTGAACTATCAAGTATAAACAAGTGAAAATACTGGTTGTCCATGTAGCATTCTTTATATGCAAGAACACACATTATGAGGGAAATTATCAGCCATGGTTTACTATTTTAAGTTAAAATTGTGTTGTACTGATGAAAGCTTCAAAAACAGGTTCAGACTTGCAGGAAACAGGAAGGAAAGAACCTGTCAGCTGTCAAAATGGGACTTTTTGTCTCGTTATTCTTCTTCAGAATTGGTTTGAACACGTCTGGCTCAATTATTCTTGCTTAGTGTAGAGTAGTTGTTTTAGTAGGTGAGCTGGTGTGCTTGAGCTGCAGTGGTGAAAGGAGCGAGTGGCTAGAGAGGCAGGGGCTGCATTGATTTCCATCTCAACACGGGAAAGATTTGTTTTCATGCAACGCTGATACACCGAGATGAGTTTTGGAGGTTTAATCAGAGGAACTTTGACTTTATGCTGTGCTTGTGTTTCATGTTGAAGCAAGATGGTGTTGCATGCTGACACACATCCACATCTAACCAAAGCCTCCTCTGTGCTGTCCTGTCTCCTCTCAGCCTGTAAGATCGGTTACTACCGCGCTCTGGCCACCGACGGTTCCTGCTCCAAGTGTCCGCTCCACAGCTACTCCGTCAGGGAGGGCTCCACCTCCTGCGTCTGCGACAAGGGATACTTCCGCTCTGAAACGGACCCGGCATCCATGCCCTGCACCCGTAAGTACACCCATATGTAGCATAGCAGCACACGACCAACACTTCCAGTACGCTGTGGTTCTTAACCCAGCAATGGTATGGAAAAGAACCCCAACACACACACAGACCGACTGCCTTCATCTAAACATGGCCATCGAGTCTATCGGTCTCTCCGTCATGCAGTGACAGCCTGAACTACCCCATCACACACACAAACACAATCCTCCTGCACGTACATAAAGCAGGCGGCTGCTGGTTTAATGGCCGCCTTTTGATTCCAGGTGGTACTTAGTGATCAGTCATGGTGACACAGAACTAATGAGGGTATAAACCGCTGCATCCCAGATTCAGTCTTCCACAGAGAGAGGCTGCGAAACAGCAGAGGTTGCCGAGAACAATGGGAAAGACAAATAGATAAAATGTTTTGGGGGGAGGTGGCGGAAAAGGTGTGAACACAAGTGCAGGTGGAGACGGATGCACAGAATGAATAAGATGTGATCGAGGAGCCGGGTGAAGGTGCCAAGGAGAAAGGGAAAGTCACTAAACACAGCCATGCATCACGCCGAGAGGAAGGCGTGCAGCGCGTCTTCACTTTCCCCCGATCCGGCCGTGAGTCATCCCCCGGTGGTTCTGGTTCTTCCAATTCGGCCCCCCTGACTCACCACGTCTGTGATAACAAATACTGCTAACAATCCTGCTGCCTAATGATACCTCTTCCCTTTCTCAGACCTCGGTCCCTCTCTGACTCATGGAACTGGGAGCTCGTTCTGGTAGAAAGATACACAAACAGGGAGCGAACAGAGAAAAACCCACACAGCGCACAAATCCCCGCACTGTCATTTCCCAGCAAAATAACTAGATTCATGCTTTACATGCGACAGACGTTTGTGTGTGAGTGAGTATGTGTCACAAAGCAATTTTAACAACCAAAACATCTGTTTAGCCGGTTAGCTCATAGCTGGCTCGCCGTTCTGTCAAGTTCCTGTGGATTCATCACTCAGCAGAACAGTTCATCGGATCAGACGAGTAGATGAACTGCCCCCCCCTCCGCCTTCCCCTGAACTAATTATTCCCCTGTAGCGCAGTATGTGTGCAAGATCACAAACAATACTCTTTTGTGGAACATTTTTGGAGATCTAAAACTGCTCCGTTTTGGCTGCGTTTTTGGTGCTAAGTAACGTTTCCCGCTGAGCTTTGCAGTGATTTCCAACTGTCACCAAAAGAGTTCGGTTGGATCAACAAAACACGGCAGAAAAGTTTGTCATGCGGCCGTTGGACTCGCGTCAAACAAAGTGATGAGAGTCAGAAATAGAAAGCTGCAAAAAAAAAGGTGTTTTGTTTACGTGGAGCTGTCACTTCATTAAAGCTGTGATTCTGGAAGGACATCTACATCATGTTTAGGTTTGTATTCAAGGCTCCGTACAAATGCCAGAATTAATGCCAAAAGTCAACCTACAAGGAAAAATGCATCCAACATTTTAAATCCACTTACATTAAAATAAATGAATGTGTTTGGGTTTCAAGCTGTTAGTCCAGACTTTAACCTGATCAGCTGAAAAATCAGTAATAAATACAATTCATGATATTCTTTACCATTACAGCACCGTATAAAACATGATTATTATCCAGTTATTGTGACAAACAGCCTGATTTCTGATACGAATAAAGGCAGCCGGACTCTAAACATGCTCTGAAGCTGTTTGCTGTTTTCTCAGGACGTGATTTTGTTTTCAGCAAACCAGCTCCATGTGTGTTTTCATCTCCTTGTGATAGAAATCAAAGAGGAAAACAAGTAAATAATAAATTTTAAAAAATGCAAGCGAGCTGTTGATTATGAATCCCGACTACTGTGCTGCAAATTACATTTCATGAATCTGACTCGCAGGTTAAAAATATTCCTTCATATCATTTTCACATGCGTTTAATAGTTTCTAAACCGTAACAACAAGCCGTCCTGTCGTCCTCTACCTGCGCCGCCACGTCGCTGCTTTCCTGCCCGGTTATGGACGAGCGGGGAGGTCATCCCTATTGTCTTATTAGTCAGCGCGGCATTTCACGATGGCTGCTGCAAGCAACAGCTGTCGAAGCTCATTACTTGGCCGGTTTTATTGGACCCTGCGCTGTCATCTCTGCTACATTCCTGAGTCCACGGCTAGTAACCGAACATTAGCCCGACTCTCCGGCCGACCTCTGGCCCTCCTCGTCAGCTGGTCAACATTTGATCTCTGAACTCTCACCCCGGCTGTCGACTGCTGTTTTCCTTCCCCGTGCGTTTTCCTTTTCTTCTCCTTCTTCTCTTTTACTTCTCACCCACAACTTAGAGCCCTGTAATTACGACTGTCACTCACACATCCTTCCTCGTCCACATTTTGTTTTCATTCTCTCTCTCCTTCTCTCTAAACCCACTCAGAGTCACAAACGCAGCAGCAGCAGAAGAAGGGAAAAAAATAAAAAAAAGCTCTTAAATTCATTTCCCAGTTTGCCTCGCTGAAGGTCAGGCTGGGAAAGAGCCAGCATCTCTGGTAATTGGGGAGCATGTCTGTATATATATGTGTGTGTGTGTGTGTGTGTGTGTGCGGGTAATTGAAAACGCTTTCCTCCTCTCTTAGCTCGCGGTCCGGCGATGCAAGATGATGATTAAAACTGGATGTTGTGTAATTCCACGGCGGTGCGACCGTTTCTCCCGCTGCGTTCGAGCTGTCAGCGTTGCATCTTCGCTGGTTTTTGCGGCGATTGTCGCGTTGATGGAGCGCTAATGTGAGCTACGTTTGATTTCCAGATTAGAAACAAGAGCCAGTCCGTTGCTTTTCCTCCCACTCTTTGGATCAGCGTTGCCCGAGGAAGCTGGCAGGAGAAATGAGTCACTTTTTAAAACAAGAATATTGGAGATTTTTTTTTTTTTTCTTATTTTATTTCTTCTTTATCTTTGTTCAAACTGTTTTTGTGGTTTATTTTTAATTGTTGTGCTTTTGCGTCTTACTTTCATTGCTCTTGCAGTCTTTTTTATTTTCCTTTGAGGCAGTTTTTTTTGTAGCTGTGCTTCATTTCTCTTTAGTTTTCCTAAAATGAGGGCAGGAATCCTTCCTCTGAGATCCACAGGCAGCTGCACGGGAAAGCTTGATCATTTTCGCTCCACGTATTTTACAGACCTTACCATACGTTACACGTATCGACATTTTTGATGGATTCAACAGGAAGGAAACGACACAGCTTAACCAAATATAATATTAAAATACAGGGCAACACACATGGATGTGAGTATAAATACACACCACCGGGCAGTAATGAGGACCAGGGACAGACACCCATGGGAGCCGGTCGCTCCGCTGTGTTCAGGTTATATGGACGGGGGTGTTCTCCGGTTTGGGGTTTGTGCCGGCTCTTGATGTGTTTCTCAGATTTTTTCCCAGTTTTCTTAGCGGTGGTTTTTGTGGAGGAAAAGGGAGGGACGGAGTGAGGAATGAACGCAGCGCAGCGAGGACTCGAGGGGGGCATTGAATGAATCCCAGCCGGATGGTAACAGCGAGGTCGATGCTCTGGCCAATTTAGCCGGCTCTCTAACTCGGCCCTGCGCAACACTCGGCTAACAATTACTGATAGGAAGAGACAGAAAGAGAAAGAGAGAGAGAGAGGGGTGGAAGAGGGTGGGAGCGACGGAGGAAAAATGAGAAAGACAGATTGAAGGAGGGGAGAAATGGAAGCAAAGGAGGGACAGGAAAGAAAGAAACAAGGCTCCCAGCAAATTGCGAGGCCATAAACGAAACGGAAAAGGAGAGGAGAAACTTTCTACGTCTCCCTCTGGGTTCCTCCCGTATAGAGAGGGAGTTCTCAGGCCGCGTTGAGCTAACGTTGTATGAAGGTTGCGCGAGCGTTGTGCTCCCGTCTCTCCCTGCCATCCAGGATTAATTACCGGGTGTCAGTCACAGCCGACGGCTCTCCCACGCTCCCTTGCTCCCAGTGGTGCATTCTGGGAGAGCGACAGGTACAGCCAAGGTAGTTTGTATGAGTGAGTGTGTGTGAGTGTGTGTGTGTGTGTGTGTGTGTGTGTGTGTGTGATGCAGGACGTGGTGGAATGTGTTTAACGCAGCCATAAACTTCTATAGTGCTGTTGCCTTGTTTGTCGTAGCAACAAACAAACACAATAATCTTTGCGAGGTGATTACACACACACACACACACACACACACACACACACACACCTGCCAGAACACACACGCTTACTGAAATCTGTTTTCACGATAATGTTACAGGACGTGTTAGAGGCGTGCTCATATGGTTTCCTGGCAGAGCGAGAAGAGAGGACTGATTCCACTTTTTGTGGCTGTATCCTAAATAGATACGAGCTAGCTTAGCTTAGCATAGAGACTGAAAGCAGAGGGAAACAGTTAGCCATGCATTAGCCTACTGATGGTGTCCTTCAAAGGTCAATAAAATTATGCTGTGAAAACTTAAACAGCTTTGATTTTCAACTTTCCAGCAGCCCTTGAACTCGTCATCTGCTACTACATGCCATTCCATCGGAAATGACCAAATGTAAGCTAAAAATTAAAATATTTCATCCAAATTCTCAGTTAAAAATTCATCAAAAGGAAGCTGCAGATTCTGTAAAAAGCAAAAAAAACCCAACAATCACATGACAAAAATTCAGGGACTTTTCCACTGAACTGACGGCTGTGGTGACACAAAGCAGAGACGAGACAAGAATGGAAAAAATAAAAACGTCAGCAGTAAAACATCTGTAGTTTATAGAACCACCAGCTTTCAAATATTTGATAACATCAAAATTGTCGCACATGTTGATTCCAGTTTATTTAAATTTTTGTAAAATAAAAACAAAAATAGAAACCTACTTTTCTTTTTTGTGATTTTTTTGGCATTATAACAGCATTACACAAGTAAAAATACACTGTTAAGTTCTCTCTGCTTGTAGCCATGAATCTGCTGTTTCCATATAGGACCACAGTGAGTAAAAACGTGGCAGGAGCAACAAAACACCCACGAAAGGCCTTTGGTTTGGTTTGATGCATGCAAAAGCAAATCTCAGGTGTGGGGAAAAAGGAAGAATGAAATCACTGCGTTGAGTGCTCAGACCTCCTTCACCAAACACCGTCCGTCACCTTTGCTCTACTGAGTTTATGACACCTGAGATCCAGATAGCAGCCTCGTATCTCAGCGTCCTATTAAGTATTAGTGTGAAGGGAGCAGAGGTTAGTTAAAGCCAGCGCACAGACAAAGACGCTATTATGGTGACGGTTTGTGTTGGCACCTTAATTTAGAAACCTCATCTGTAACTGGTTCCCATTGTCTGAGCAGCAGACGGCGGGGGGATGAGGTAGAAGAGCAGGAGAAGTGGGTGAGGAGAAGGAAAAGCAAGGAAAAGGGGGGTCCTTTATCATCGCTTTTAATGGGAATTTATTAATAGATTTTCATCACAGGGTGCAGTTGGTGATATGAACGCAGCCTCCTCTCTATCCTTTCATCTGAAAGCTGGTGTCCCGTGCAGCTCAACAGACCCGGGCCCAGCGTCGCCCTCCCTCCACCCAGACCCGCTCCCTCCACCCAGACCTGCTCCCTCCACCCAGACCTGCTCCCTCCACCCAGACCTGCTCCCTCCATACTAATCAGCGGCTTTCTGGGCGAGCAGACGGTGTTTGTCTTCTCCGTCTGTCCTTCTCCATCTCCCTCCTCTCAGCCTCTGCTTCCCCTCACTGTTTGCTCATTCTGCCAGACTCGTCCAGTCCACAGCGTCTTTGCGAGGACGCACGCGTCACGGGTAAAACTGCGCTTCCTCGTCTCCATTAAAACGGCCACGCTCGTGCACGGACGCGCACTTCTTCTTCTTCTTCTTCTTGTTCGTCCTCGGGCGTGCACACACACTCCCACACACTGTCCCCTCTGCTGCTCTCTGCGTCTCTGTGAAATCACTCATTGCCACTCTGCTCCTCCAAAAATAACACTGATAATTAATTTCCGTTGTGAAATGATTCGTCTGTGGACTGACTAGCTTTCATATTTCACCCTGCATCGATCCCCCCAGTCCGCTCGCGTGCGCTTCATTAGTCAGAGGGAGAGAGCGAGGGAGACGGGGGAGAGAGAGAGAAAGGGAGAGTTAAGTCAATTACCGCCGCTTATGTTTGAAAGCAACGCAAAAAAACACATTAATTACAACGGGGCTGACATGTAAATTGGGATTGATGCGCTGGGGAGTTTGTGTCACTTGTCTCTGGAGCTGCTCGCTCATAAAAAGTACAGAGTGGAGGTTTTTACATCAAAGTGAGGAACTTAATAACAGGGTCCAGAGCAAACTTTGTCTAAAGTTATTGAGTGGGTGCCACAAAGCCGCACTGTGAGCGGCGGCTTCAGGCAGCCCGCCACCCTGCAGCTGATTCCACGGATGAATCCCAAGGATCTCTGCTGGCCTATTGGATTTCAGTTAACGTTCTGAATTAACTGAGGTGAAATCGGATCGTCCCACGCCAGTAATGGACAGGACATTAAAAGGGAACTCAAGAAGCCTCAGCTCTCAATAAAGGGATAGCCCTGTCAATTACACGCCTACGTCTTTGTATGGAAAGAACCAGTTACCACAATCACTGGTTCTCGACGCACACACCAAGAGATGCTGGTATTAATGATGAAAACTGATGTGATGTCTCCCTTTCTGCTCCATTTTTCACCAGCGACCACAAGTAAATATGAGCGTAACTCCTGCTTTGCATTTGGCACGTCGCTGTTTGTTCCGCTGCTAACAGCATCAACTCCTTCCCTCCACAGGCCCTCCATCTGCACCGGTCCACCTCATCTCCAACGTGAACGAGACCTCTGTAAACCTGGAGTGGAGCCCACCCCGGAGCTCAGGAGGGCGCATGGACTTGACGTACAACGTGGTGTGTAAGCGCTGCGGGCCCGACGGCCGGCGCTGCCAGCCCTGCGGTAACGGCATCCACTTCAGCCCGCAGCAGCTGAGCCTGAAGGGAACCAGGGTGTCCATCAACGAGCTGCAGGCCCACACCAACTACACGTTCGAGGTGTGGGCGGTGAACGGGGTGTCGCCTCAGAGCCCCGGGCCGGAGCAGGCCGTGTCGGTGACCGTCACCACCAACCAGGCCGGTAAGACGATGAGTGAACGGATGATTGTGGGAGGACGAGCAGGAGAGACGGTGCTGAGAGGTCATGTGACTAATGTGGACTCTTAGAGGCCAATAATAATGTTTTTTTTTTTTAGTGTTACATCAATGAAGGTTGACAGATGTCAATAGGTGGCATTGATTACCTCCAGAGTACATGATAGGTCCACTACATTGACATATCAATACATTTTTCACGCCTGTTCACCATTAAAATAGACTAAATGACATATTTTGCGCCTCTGAATGGAAACTCCTTCTGGCAGGTGTGAATTCTGGTAACGTTTTTAAATAAATCACCTAAATGACACCATTTCCCAGAACCAGAAACTGTTAAAACAGAAAGAATGATCAGATTTTTATCTTCCTGCCCTCCTCTGTTCAAGCCACATGCCATGAGTGACTCAGCAGTTATATGAAAAAACATTCAGGGGTTTACCGTAATGTCCAGACTATTGAGGCACCTGAATATAAGCCACTAATTTAAAAAAGAAAATGTGTTCATATACAGACCGCACTTGTCTATAAGCTGCAGGTGTCCACGTTGGAACATGAGATATTTTAACATACACAGATACGTAGAGGCTTTTTTCTGAACAGTTCCTGTAACACGGCTGGTTAAGGAAATAAAACTCCAGCAGCTACCAGGAAAAGTCACTGATCGCTGTCTTCATGTTCCTCCTGCACTAAAACCACTAAAGTCGTCTTCTTCAGTGTCTTCAGGAGCTGAACAGCCTCAGAATCACTTCGTCACTTCCTCTGTCGCTCTAAACGTCACTTTGGTCTCGAGGCAAATTCATAAAAATTGTAAAAATCCATAAATTATTTAAGCCGCAGCGTTCAAAGCGTGTGTGAAAAAAGTAGCAACTTATAGTCTGGAATTTACGGTAAACTGGGCTGAACTAACGGGAGGCCGTGATGGAAACAAATTAAAAATACAACTTGTAAAATATACACAGGATGTATAGCCACCATTTTTTTTTTTCCAGTTTTGCTAACGTCTGTCAGCGCTTGGAAAAATGTTGCAGCATTTCTGTAAAGCACATCACCGATGAAATGAAAGTTTTTCTTGGTTGGATTTTTCGCAGTATAACTTTGCTTTACTGCACAGAGGACATTCCTTCTAGCGGCGGCTGTGCTGTTTCCATCGAGGAGCAGGACTTTATGTTGCAGTAAAAATAAAAACATGAGCCCATAGTGAGTAAAAATGTGACAGAACGGACAAAAACTGCTCTGGGGTCAGAAGATTAAACCAGAATCCTGGGACCTGGTGAAGAAGATGATAAAGATAAATGCAACTAAACAACACTACTTGTTTTTTATACCATGCTGCCAATATATATATATATATATATATATATATATAAATATATTTCTGACAGCTGTTCTGGTGTTTTATTAGCTCGACATATTGTTAATACATATTAAAATAGTTCCCGCTAGGAAACATTCCAACCATGTTAACTTATGGTTGTTTTATGAGACGTTACCACGGATTAGACTTCATTCTTAAACCTGGAAACAACACTTATTTTCCTATATGAGAAAGCCTCCTCGTGTTTGCTTACCTAACCGATCTCCAGCGGTTTACTTTCCCGCAGATCATAAAATCCAAGTTGGATTCTTGTCTGTGTCGGTGGAGCGAGCGTCTGTTTGATGCAGAGCGCAGGTTCGTTACACCGAACGCCTGGAGTACATTTTTGGGGGCAATCTGCGTGTCAAAACATGTTTATTAAAGTTGTGAATAATTTGGGCGAAGGCTGGGTGATTACTGAGGAGGGTGATGGATTCTCAGCAGGGGGAAATGATTTTCTGCAATATTTCACTGGAGTTTTGCATAATTAGGCATGAGAAGCCTCGGCTGAAGATAGGGCCACCGCGCTATATTTAGCTCCCGAGCTAATGAATTAGATGAGTTGTATTGATCTGCGGAGGCTTCATTACAAATGCTGTTAGGCCGCGCGTGTGTCGGTGTATGTGCATGTAATTATTTTTGTAGAGCACACCCATGAATACAGCCTCTCCTTTAGAGGGGCCCTCCAGCCCTGGGGTGCGTTCAAAGCCTCCCGTTGTTTTGCCATTTAGCTGTTTTGTAACCGGTTGTTGTGCAAATGGATTTTATGACCCTGGTCCTTTCTCTTCATCCCTCCCTTCTCTCCTCCGCTTATAGCCGATCATTACCTTGGTCTTCTTTACTGCTCTGCTCTTGGGTGGCGAGCTAAGTGCCTTTTTGTGCTGCCTTTTTTTTTTTTTTTTTTTCTATTATCACTAATTTCCGTCCATGGGAAAAGCGAATATCTTGAATAGGACTTGGACCGGCAATTTGAGGACACAGTGGCTTGATTTATCAGCTGGAGTCAGGAAGATAGAGATGAATGGATGTGCTGCCTGTGGGGGAGCTGCGAGTCCTGCCAGACAGGCATGTGTGGGAGCAGTAATGGAGCACACCCCGGAGTCCACGCCGAGGGCTCGCAACAGCACGTCTGGACGGTCACACTGATGCACGGTTGCACAAAAAACTCCAAAGTGCACGCTTTCAGTGGTGGATTCGTACAAAGACATCGCCCCACACACACTCGCTCACACACACACTCGCACACACGTGTCCCCCTGAGGTTGCTCGAGGCTAATCTGCTGACTTGAACTTGTAAGATATAGATGATGTTGCCTTTGGCTCGTCACTGGTGCATGTTTCACAACTGTTCCCCAGGATTAGTTATATGAAGCTGCAGCTGGAAGCTCTATTAGTGTGGATGTGTATCTGTGAAGGAGGGGCTGCATGCGTGGCTGAAAGTAAGAAAATGTGCGACACAGAATGGATGGAGACGATCTGCATTCGCCTCTCAAACAATGTCGTCTGTGTGACTCCATATGTGTGTGTCTCTAATCATTTGTGTGCATGTGTGTGTGTGTGTGTGTTAAAGAGAATAGCTCCAGACTGATTGGATTTCTTCCTGCTAATGCTCGGTAGGGGCTTTGGAAGCTCTGGTTTCAGCCGCTGGTAATCCAGCCAGTCATCTGTGGCTGTCCCTCTCTCTGTATCGCCTCCCCTCATCCAGACACCGTGGATTACACATTTATTATGATAGATTTATTAGGATTTATAAGTGCTGTGGAAAAGACACCCCCGCCGCCGCCGCCGCCTTCCCATAAAAGTTCAAATTTCGGCGAGAGAGGAAGAAGTGAGGTAGGCAGGTTGGAAAGGAAGGAGCGCTTATGTGTGCTTTTTTGCGTGACAGCGAAGAGAAAGAAGGTGCGGTGGAGAAAAAATGAAGGCCAGCAGATAAAAATGAAGACGCGAGGGTTGTTGATTGCTGTGACCAGGCATGTACGAGGAGGTCAGATTCCATGTGTCGCCATGAACAATTCCACCGCCGTAAATCAGCCGGGGTGTAACCCTTTCACCCGGACTGCATGGGGAACGGGAAGGGGGGATGTCCAGGCTTTGAACTGACCCCTGGCTGCAAATGGATGTTTTCTCCCCTTTTATGGGATCAAGCAGCATGTGTGTGTGTGTGTGTGTGAGAAAACGTGAAAGAGAGTCGGAGAGTGAGGTGTTTATGTCTCCGTACAAAATACTTGGCAGGCTGAGGTGACTAAAAGTGAATTAGTGCATGAGAGGCCGTGTGTGTGTGTGGGCACGTCTGTCAGCGCACATGTGTGTGAGTTTCCATCTCTTTGGCAAAGCGGACAGACGTGCATGTGGAAATGTGTTTTGAGGAGGTGGAAGCGGGGATCCACAGGGCGGATGAGGGGGGGATCTTGTAAGCGGGAGCCATTTTCCCGACACCCTGAAAAACGGCTCCCTCCTCGACTATTTTTCCTTGGCGGCAGCAAAATTGAGTGACTCAAATCTGGCAACCAGGCTCCAATCTGGCAACCACATGTGCACCCCGGCCCCTGTCTCTTTTAATGTCAAACTGTAATCGACCGCATATTCGCGCAAAATGCTCGCGCCGACCGCAGATGCTCCTCGCTGCACAAATACTTTGTGATGAACATGCTCGCGAAGACAAACTCGCTCACCGAACAAGCACGCAGACACAAAACCTCACAACGAAAAAGATAAATAAATAAAAAATCTGCTGCACTATTCTTCTGGGAAGGTGATGTACGAATCAAGCCAGAGCCTGTGTCTCTGCCAGGTTTTCACTCGTTATAATGTATGCACGGATGGTATGATTGGGTTTTTTGCTGCCTGTGTGAGATAATGGGGCTAGGTGTGTTTTTCTATGTGAATTTCTATCTTTCTGTTTGTGTAATGAGGTCCTTTGTGTTGCAGCGTGTGTGTGTGTGTGTGTGTGTGCCGGTGTTGCAGGCTGTGAAAGAGATTTTTTATTTTTTTTTGGAGAGCACAATTCTGAAATGAGATCTGAATATTCATTGCGTCTAACACTTATTATTCCACCAGCGTGTTTAGCCCACGCGTTCAGGAGGCAGTAAGAAATTACAGACCTGCCCCACATATTTAAATTCATCTACAGAGGTGCCAGCAAGTCTAGCAGGGTCTGCCCAAATCGCAGCCTCAGGTGGAAACGCTTCCCTATTCAGGGAAGACATCTCAAATTTAGCCGTGCATCAGCTGTGTGCGATTTGTACACATGTGGTTCGACAATGTTTTAAATTCATCAGTTTGCTTTTGAGGCATTCGTCTGACGAGGTCCTAAAACTTGGTCCTGATGGATCACCTCTTAGGGTGTCCGGGCTGCTGTGTCATGTAATAAACCCGAGAAGGGACCGCTCAGAAAATCACTCATCTTTATCCTCACATTAGTCGAGGGAAAAATAAAAACCCAACAAGAGCAGCAGAACACGATTAAATCGCCATATCTGTCATCTTTGGAGGGAAAGATGGATGTGCGGATTACCTTTGGGGAATGAAGGCCCGTGACCCTTCGGGATTTTTTCTTTCGGAGTCGGAGCGTCCTCGGTCGGCCCCCAGGAGGGCCTTCAAATTGGCTCTCGCTGCCGGGCAAGATTGATCGGAGGGATACAAATGGCCGCCATCTAATTGTTTAACGGAGACGCAACACATTAGGCCAACAGGATGACACAACCTCGGGTTAATCTATTTACTAAGAGACGTCTGCAATCCCATCCCTCTCCGTCTCAATCTCAACCCCCGCCGGTCACAGCCCCCCTGCCCCCCCTCCTCGTCCTGCCCCCCTGAAACTCAATCCATCGCCGGTGCTTGAATTCCAGGCCCGTTTGAACTCAATCCGCGGCTAAAAGCAGGGTTTTGTTAGCATTAGCTCGAAGGCTAGGCTCCCTGGAGCCCCCGCTCAAAGTGATGAGAATGTATATAATGTCATAGATAATCCAATCATAATCGGTGGACCGCGAACCCCTCATTAATCATCCCACTGTAATTTTTTAAAAGGCAGATGGTCTGGAACGAGTAAGGTTACAGTAATCACCGAGGAGCAGAGGTCAGAGAGTGACTCCTTGTGAACTGCTAAGAGCAGATGCTGTAAAGAAATGCTACCTGGCTCCAGTGGACACGTGTTTCTGTGTTTTGCTTTGTTCTCGCTCCACCGAGAGTCGATGAGGGAGCTTGTTGGGTTGCTGAGGGTGCTTGTGTGAATGTGAGAGAGGTTTTAAGCTCCTACAGGAATTTTGCTGATGCTAGAAGCCCAAAGCGCTGCAGATGTGTGTGTCTTTGTGTCCTATATCTTTTTGTCTTGTGCACCTTTTTGTGCCGTATCTTGTCGTCTGCTCTGAACTCAATCCGTACATAAGTGTTTCTCTGTTTACGGCACTATCTAGCCTGTGCCTATCTGTTTCTCTTTGTCACGTCGAGAGTGTGTATGACCTAATTTTAGTGTTGTCACACTCCCTGAAGATAGCGTTTTGATTTGTGCAGAGGTGACGCAGTGGAGGGAGGGGACGCCGGGTGTCAGCCATTATCTGTGCTTTAACCTTCACATGTTAAAGGCGTCTGAACGCAGATAGCGCGGCTGCTTGAAATATGGCCTCATTATCAGCTGCAGCAGAAAGGGCTTGGAGATAAGATCGCACACGGCAGCTTTAATGAAAACCAATTGATTTGCTCTCTTGATGACAAAGAAAAACACAAGAAAGGTGTGGAGCTCCTGTAATTTCATTCACACACTTTGTAGACGTGCATGTGTCCAGGGTGACCTGCCAATCTGCACAAAATGAAGTGAAGCAGAGTGTGTGAGAGGCTCACGTAAGCCGAGGTGGACTTGGATCAGTTTTATGGGTGCCAAGCATTAGATCAGAAAGGACTATTGCCCCACACTCCAGCTGTGGCAGTTCAGCTGTGGGACCGTGTGGTTCTGTAACGCCTTCAATCTTGAATGGAAGCCAAGTTCAAAGACAAATGGAAGTGATTGCCTTGTGGCCTGGCGCGCTGTTTGATTTCCTCAGCAGGAGCAAAGAGTGGAGGATTTAGGAGAGACTCAGTGTCTCCAAAGCTGAAAACAACATGGACGACTGGGAGAAAGCAGCAGGCTAAATATTTTTCTCTTCTCCTTTTTTTTTTCTCTTCCTTTGATCATCTCACTAGCTCCCTCCCCAGTGACTTCCATCCAGGCGAAGGATATCACAAGACACACCATCTCTCTGGCCTGGCAGCCACCAGACAGAGCCAACGGGGTCATCCTGGAGTACGAGGTCAAGTACTACGAGAAGGTGAGCGGTGCCACGGGAGAGTCTGTTCATGAAATGCTCTCAAAGATTTAAAGAGGTGAACGTGTTCTGCGAGCCTTTGAATCATTCGTGTTGTCTTTCTGTCTTCCTCAGGACCAGAATGAGAGAAGCTATCGAATCATCAAAACCTCTTCTAGGAATACCGACATCAAGGGCCTCACCCCCCTCACCTCCTACGTGTTTCATGTGCGAGCTCGCACGGCGGCCGGCTACGGGGAATTCAGCGGCCCGTTTGAGTTCATGACCAACTCCGGTGAGTTTAACCACAACCGCCTCCGCTCAGCTCGAGCCGATGATATCAGCGCACGGCGGAGCCAGGGAGGCCCGACGCCAGATCTTTCTGAAGAATCCTGCCATGATAGAACCTTTTATGAGTTTGTCTCTTTCACTGTAGAGCCATTAATCAAAATAGCTGTCGACTGTAAAAGATAAACGATATTGTGCTCCAGCACCTGACTGGCAACCGGAGCAAGTTCCATTATTCAAGTGTGAGTCTCAGTAGATGTGCCAGCGAAGGTTCAGACTATATGGGTTTTTGAGGAATGATACCGTTTTTGACATTTTTAGTTGGAAGCTGCTGATAGATACTTTGTGCTTCTCGTTGTTAAATTTAATCAATGTAAAGCCAAAAAATAAATAGTCACCATGTCGGCCAGACTCTGGATCACTACGGCAGCCTCTACGTGGGTGGACTCTGATCACAATTTCAAATTAGCTGCTCAAAGCCCGCTGACCGGCCGCCGGGTCAGTCAGCACCGTGTCACGCAGCGCAGCCAAAACTTGTTCAGAACCGCATTTCACATTCTAGTCGAGATCCCAGAGTTCTACAAAGATTTCCATTTGATGGAACTGGGCGGCCACAAAAAACAAAAAACCCACTTCAGTCTTGGGAAAAGCTGTTAGAAAATATATCTAATTACTGTCAGACAGAGTGGAAAAACATGACCCGAAGCTGCTAGAGGGGAATGAAACTAAACGTGAAGGAAGCTGGATTCAGGTAAAGATCCAAGACCGTCTTCTTTATGTATATTTTACAATCTGTTTCATGTAATTTGGTCATCCTTGTTCACACAACATCCATTGCGTGGGATCCTCCTCTGGTGCTCGTCCTCTTCTTTCTTGCTCTGGAGTTTTATTTATCTGAATCATGTCACGTTTGCAGAGCTACTTGAGGGAAACCTCAATGCATTTACTTCGCACCACCTACGTAGCAGCATGTGATCATTCAAACCTAATCGGCGACTTTCAGTAAATATTATTCCACATCACATTAACTGTTGGTGATGACGCACGGGGGTTACAGGGACACACTGGAGGTCCAGGTGTCTCCTTTGTGATGCAGATAGCCACAGCGGCGCATGATAATGACATGGTCAAGCACCCGTCCTAATGGGCCGGCATTGTCCCCCAGCGAGGCGTGCAAAGCAGAGGACTTTATGGGCAGGGTTGTAAAATGGAGGGAGCAGCAACGTGTGTGGACGGACACATGTGGAGGGAGACCGGTTGCTCTGACAAACACAGAATGTACGCCGGCTCGTTCGACTCCATCGAGCATAATGGTATTGACTTTGCTCTTTGTCCTCTCCCTTTCTTTCCTTCACCCTTTTTATTTCCACAGTCCCTGCTCCCATTATCGGCGACGGGGCCAACTCCACGGTGCTGCTGGTGTCGGTGGTGGGCAGCGTGGTCCTCCTCATCATCCTCATCAGCGCCTTCGTCATCAGCCGAAGGTGAGCTCCATCCCGTCTGCTTTCTGTCTCTCCCTCTCGCCTCCCCGATGAGGGATGTCTTGCTTAGTGCCGGCAAAGTAGCTGTCAGGAGATGGAAGTCACTCCAAAATACACAAACACACACACACACACACACACTGAGCCAGACAGCCTGTGCAACTTGCTCACGTCGAATGAGTGATGACTCGCCACACCGGAGACGTGATTGACAGCTCCGACAGCTGAAGAGATGCAATCAGCGACCCCTCGCTCCCTGTCCTCTGCATCCGTCCTCCCCACACCGCCTCCCCCTCATCCCTCATCCCTCTATCTCCCAGCTAGTGGCTGTAATCCCGACCGCTAGATATTTTCCCCTGCTGTGGCTCGCTGACCGCCGCGAAGAAAATGAGCGAGAGAGAGAGAGGGGAGAGAGGGGAGAGAGGGGAGAGAGCGACAGGAGGGTGGACAATGAGATAAGCGGGCAATGAAAAGTCGGAGATAGAATACAGAGGGAGTGAGACAGAGAGGCATCAGGTGGATTTGCAGTGACCCAATCTCAGGGTGTTAACCAGCGAGCAGGACAAAGCAGCGTCACACAGATGGGATTACATGCAGATGGGGCTGCCTCACCTCAGGGTGTTAACCACACTCCCCCTGTGAGTGTGTGTTGGGGGTGCACATATCCTTATGTGAAAAAAAAAAAAAAAGTTTAGTATGTGTGGTGGTGACGGTGGGGGGAGGGGAGTGTTAGTGTGTGTGCCTGTTTATATGGAAACCAAGTCACTGTTTCCATGTGTGTGTTGAGAATGATGGGGAGCGAAGGGGGCTGCTGATTGTGTGTGTGTGTGTGTGTCCTCTCTTTTCCGTGTGATTGCCTCTCTCTCTCTCTGTGTGTGTGCAGCCAAGCAGGTGGTTGTCTCAGCCTTTTTTATATGCATGTGACGGCCACTGTCATTGTGCTGCCGCGGCCGTCCTGTGATTGTGGGGAGGGACTGTAATCACGTAGCCGTTTGCCATCATTACACAACCACAGAGGAGGACAATGTCTCGCACATCTGGTCATTTCCACCACTGACCTAACACATCAATATGAGCACAGGTGTCAGGCTGCCTCGGGGATTCGGAGGGATTTAAGTGCACCTTCTCTTGGATTGATTTATCGCTCTTATACCCGCCCGGCTTGTCCACTCCGTGTTGTTGTTATAGGCTCGGTGCCCTTCAGGAACCTTCAGGGCTGCAAGGAAATCTTACTGGACTTTGAAATAAAATGCACCTATTAAAATATCATCTGCAGAGTATCAGTAAGAGTACCTGTTATGGAAAATATTCAAACTCTGGATGTTATTCCTGTTGCATTAAAGATAAAAGGTGGAACAGATTTAGAGTTTATTCCACAACAATCACATTTTATATTTAAAAAATCAAAACATTTTAGTGGAAAATCTTCATCTACAAAGTCACAGGTTACTGTGACTGTTTAGGAATAGTAGTAAGTGTATTTTCCCTCTGCCTAAATTTTGTACAAATAAAAGCCTTGAATCTTTCTTGTTGTTTTAAGCATCTGGTTGCTTTCTGGGTGACACAGGCGCCGTTCAGCGTTAGTCTGTATTTTAGCCTAAAGGTAAAGTTTGGGAATTTGGGGATAACATTTAAAAACAAATTTTATTTTTCTGTTTTGCGTTTACATGTTAAACTGAAAGCTTCTGGTGGGAGTTTTTCTTAATCTTTGAACAGACTGGGCTCACTGTTCACCCCGTTTCTAGTCTTTAAGCTAAACTAAGCTCACATCAGCCTGACCACACACACATCAGCGTGGTTCTTCTCTTAAAAACTCCCGGTCAGGAAAGCAAATCATGAAGCTCCCACAAGATTGAACTATTGTTGTCGAGCTTTTCACAGCTTCTTCATAACTAAGAACAAATATCAAGAAAAAGGTGCCACACAATGTAATAAAATGTCTGGTTTGTGAAATTCTCCTGTTTGACACGTGAGACGCTTCACACCAGAAGAGAAGTCCTGCTACAGGAGAGCAAATAGGAAATAAGGGGGAAAAAGCTTTTTGTGAGGAGCGATGAGGCTGGAAAAAAAGGACAGTGGTGTGAAGCTTCACACGTGGGGCAGCTGCTTTGATGCGATCCATTCAGTGTGTTCTGTCCTTCAGCTTTAGTCTTAATTAGGAATTTGTGAATCGTCACTCGTGCCCTGTTATTATCATTATTACACGTTTTTGCTTCTACATGAGACGATTGGCTTCGCTGTCTGACCCGTAGCTGCCTGATGTTTGAAGCTCTACAGCGACTGACCGTCCTGTTTTCTTTGCCCCCAGAAGGAGTAAATACAGCAAGGCCAAGCAGGACTCTGACGAGGAGAAGCACTTACATCAAGGTAACTCATAATTAACACTCCGCCTACGCACTCTGTAATTGAAAAACATTAGCGCTGTCAGGTGTGTTCACGTGCACGCTCTCTAAACCGCAAATGAAGCCCATAAAATGTGGGGAAAAAACAAACTATTCTGAAGTTAATGTACTTGCATCCCAACGCGCTCCAAACACCTCATTATCAAGTCATCGGCGCTGTTATTTGCGTGCCCCAAAAATTTCAAGTTAATGAGCTCCGTCTTCGTCGGAGTCAGCCACAGTGACATGAAAAGCAACGGAGTCAGAGTGTGAAGTGAGGTATGGAGAGGAGAAAGGAGGAGGAGGAGGAGGAGGAGAGGATCCACAGAGGAAGGCGGTGTAGCCTGCAGCACCATGGAAATAAAGAACAGATGGAGAGTAGTTGCCGGAATGAATTAACCTTCATCTTTTTCACTCCCTTCTTTCCTTTTTTTTTTTTTTGCTTCCTTCTTTTCTTTGCAAACATCTTTCCTCAGGAGTGAGGATATACGTCGACCCCTTCACCTACGAGGACCCGAACCAAGCGGTCCGCGAGTTCGCCAAAGAGATCGACGCCTCCTGTATCAAGATCGAGAAAGTGATTGGCATCGGTGAGGAGAGAAGGATGTTTGGATTTGAGTCCAGACTTAGGCCATTTTAAATATTTTTTTTTCTAAATGTGACTTGGAGAAAAGAATATGGTAACTTGGGATAAAAGCATCCACCTAATGGAGTTATAGATATTTTATTTAATGCAAAACTCTGCTGCCGGCGTAGTTTCCTCTTTGATTTGTGTTTGCATGCGGCTGCTCTCATGTGCACTCCTTGAGAACAGCGCCCATTGTTTTCCCGGACAATAGCATTTGGTATGCCTCTAGAGAGGTCAGCAAGTTAAAAAAAAATAATCAGGCAAGGATAAATATGTTGTCCCTGCTATTCCTGTGGCCAGAGAAAAGTCATCCAATGACAAAATAATAAAGAGAAAGAATCAATATCCATTTCCCTCTTTCTCTCTGCTCCAGTGGGCGACGGGGGAGGAGGGAGTGAGGGATTAGAGACCCTGATCAATGTTTAAAGTGGAACCCTTATAAACCACACACACACACACACACACACACACACACACACACACACACACACACACACACACACACACAGCCTGTTTGATTTGATTTATAGCGCGTGGATCAGAGTGCTTGTGTATCATCATTCCACATTTCTCATCGCACCGTCGTGTCTCCAGGGGAGTTCGGCGAGGTCTGCAGCGGCCGCCTGAAGATGCCGGGCAAGAGGGAGATCTGCGTGGCCATCAAGACGCTGAAGGCCGGATACACCGACAAGCAGCGGAGGGACTTTCTGTCCGAGGCCAGCATCATGGGCCAGTTCGACCACCCCAACATCATCCACCTGGAGGGCGTGGTCACCAAATGTACGTATGTTTTTCAGTACAGAGAGGTGTGTCACATGAGACATGCTGCAGAAAATCACCCATTCACAATTACTATATCTAATGACACACACAAAGGGCACTCATTTCTGCTGTCCCCCTTAAAAACAATTTAACAATAAATCACTACAAACTACGTCTGCGTTTACGGGTGACTTTGGAGAAAGGTGAGCGTCGGGACAAACCGATCTTTAGTCGGTTGTAAAAGCTACGAGGTTTGCATTTATTTTCCTGCTGTGTGTTTTAATGCTCACTTATGTTCTTGGATAAATGATTCCTCACATATAAAGCGTGTTTGTGCACATGTGTGTTGTCCGGACGTCCCGTCCAGGGTATCCCCAGGTGGGTTGAGTCCAGATGGAAGGGGTCCAGCATCGGTGGGGCTGGGGGGAGGTGGCGTCGGAGGTAGCTGGGCAGTTGGGGAGGGAAGGGGGTCTAATGGGTCCAGGAACAGGCCCTGTAGCGCGCCACCAGCCTCATTAATCATAGTGTCAGCTGTAAATGTGTTTGGGGTTAGGGAGTGATACCCTATCCCTCCTCTATCTGCTGCTGCGTGGCCACAAAACACCGGCCAAACCTCCCTCCCTCTGCCCTCGGCACTCTCACTGCTGTCTCTGTGTTTCTCTCCCACTTTTACACCTTAACCCGATGTTATTTGTTAGGTTATAGGTGTGTGTGTGTGTGTGTGTGCGAATGACTTGTCAGCACATGCAGGCATACCTTTGATTGCACGCATGTGTGCGCGAGTGTTACCATAGCTGATGGCCGGCCTCGGCTCCAGTTAGATGGATGAAGTGCTTTAATGTGTCGTGACACCACAGCCTGGTCCTATCTGCACCAGATAACACTGTCTCTCTCTCACTGTTGCACACACACACACACACACACACACACACCTCGCCCAGCCGGAGCTGAAAGTGAACAGCAGCACAGGCAGAATTGCTTATCACCTATCACACCTCTCACCACGGGGAATGACCTCTCAGACCTCGCGGAGACGGAGTGGGAAAGACAGAGGAGAGACGGACAGATGGACAGGAGGGAAGGAAGGGAAACCGGAGACGAGCGGCGGCCGGGGAAGGTGCAAATAGAGACGCAGGGAGGCGGCGAGGAGCTGATGGATTAGAGGAAAGACAGAACAACACAGACAGAGAGCCGAGGCTAGTGGGACTACTGAACCGGAGGCTGGAAAAGAAAGAGACGGAGCGAGACAGGGAGAGGAGAGAGGGGGAGATGAAGGAGACGTAGATGAGCTACGCGGCAGTGACAGCAGCCGACATGAAAGGATGGCGAGCCAAAGCAAGAAGGGCATCCGATAACTCCCACTCCACCTCCTTCCACTCTCACTTTGAGAGCTTGACACAAGGTTTGGGCAAATTAGTCCTTCACACTTGAGTGTGTCAGTGGAATCTATTAAAAATCCATTATTTGAATTGCACTCCACTCTCCATTACAATCAAGTTAGAAGGAATTCTCAATCTGGCCTCAGTTTGCTGGCATGTCCAACAGAGCCAATTAAGGCTTATTAATTATGGAGGAACTCCAAATAGGCACTAAAATACATAAATGTGAAAAAATCTCACACTGGAGACGGCTGGCTGTAGTCCAGTACATGCTTCGTGTTTCTATCGTACTGGTGTGTAATTAAAATCAAGCCTCCATTAGAGCTCGAAATCAGACGTGATATGTTTAATGGCTGATTTACATAAAGTAAGAGCACGCTAATTTAGAAAAGATCCCCTTTTAAAAGCCACATCTTTGTTTGCTGCAAACGCCGGGGCCTCCGCAGAACATTTGCCCAACGTTCCCCCAATATTGTGCCCCTGTTGCGCTCTTCCCCATCTCCCCTGTTTTGTTGGCAGGTGATAATCGGCCCACTGGTGGGGCCCTTGCCCAGAGTTCATTGCCAAAGGCGGCAGGGCGTATTCAGTAAACAAGGAATTAGCATGCAAATGGGCTGGAAGGAAGAGGGCGGGGCTGGGAAGGCGAGAGTTTCGGGTCGCAGGTCAGACGCTCCTCAGACTTGATTGCTGAGCTGTCAATCAGCAGCGGCCCCGGGGCAGAGGCGCGCAACAAAGGGAACAAAGATGGCTGACAAAGAGGGCCCCCGCTCGCCCCCAACTTTAGCTCCACTTCCTCTTTTTGGGGCATCGCCGGAGCGCCCTGTAATTAATGGAGTGCCAATCACGCGGCGGGTACGGCGCTGACTGACGGCCTCTTGGCATGGCGAAAGGCCTGCTGTGGAGTGGAGGAACTTCACCTTCAAGACCTCAGCTGCCAAGCGCTCGGCTGGCTCTCGGCGGCTTTAGGCATTCTGCTGGAGCGCACGAGAGATTTCACACAACCTCCCCTCAAGGCAGCAGCTTTAAGTCAGCACTTCTCTTCAAAGCAATAAGCTTTTAAGTCCACCTTAACTGTGCCACTTGAAATGGAACACAAAGAACAACGCTGTCCTAGGAGGAATTTGTGACAGCACTTTTCGGCATGTGTTGTTGCCATGGCTGGTTAGGCACCAGCTTGCTGCCGTTTTGGGACAAAAACAAGCCTGCCGCCCTTCCTTTCCTCCTTCTTTCTTCTTCTTTTTTTTTTGCCCCTCTCTTTTTCTCTCCTCATGCCTGCTATCCCCCCTCATCCTCAGAGACAAAGACAGACAGAGACCCACCAGGGAATGTCCACCCTCCCCTCCGCCTGCCCCGGCTCAGATAAAGACACAGACGCTCCCCCATGAGAGCCGGAGAGGGGACGGCAGAGGGACGGGGTGAGAAAGGCCACAGAGGAGTGGCAGCGATCGGAGGGAGACGAGAGCGAGCGATGGTGTGAGCCAGGGAGGGGGAAAGAGAAAGAACCAGAGAGGAGCTAGCAGGAGAGTGACAGATGCGTGGAAAGTTGGCAGAGGGCAAAGGGACAGTGAGTGACACAAATAGCGAGTCGGAGGGATTCTGGGTGGGTGACTGCGATGAGACTTTGGATAATGCGTCCAGCGTCGGTTCATATTTGCATAAACACAAGCTGGTGTGTGTGTGTGTGTGTGTGTCGTGGTGTTTTGTTTCAGTGGAGATGCCTCTGAATGTGCAAAGGGAAGAAGGGGGACGTCAGGGCAACCGTAAGACTGAGCTAATTAAATCACTACGGGACAGAGATGGATGGCCTAACATACTCACACACATGCACAGATTCCCTGGAGAACCTCCCGCTGTGTGGAGCTGTGATGTGCATCGTTTACCTCCATAATCATCTGCCTTTCATTCTCTCACTCTCCCCCTCTCTCCCTCTCTCTCTCCTCCTCTCTCTAGGTAAGCCAGTGATGATTATCACAGAGTACATGGAAAACGGATCGCTGGATGCATTTCTGAGGGTCAGTCATGCGTTTCTGTCTGCGCAAACGTGTGCAAGTGTGTTTGTGTGCGACGCGGCTGCAGCGTGCTGATCCCATCTTATCTCTGTAATGTCATCCGCCCAAATTACAAGCGTTGCTTCACAAACATTCGCCCTAATCTTTATCCTCTCCTCCATCGACTCGTTGTTTTTCCCAACGAGGAGGTTTCACCTTTGTGTTTCTCAGGTTCACTACACTCGAGGTTTTAACGACGCTTGGAAACTTAATCCAGTAAATACGTTTAGCGTTAGCGCGAATGTAGGAAAATTTAAAAGTAACGTGCAGAACTTGACAAGTTGTCTTCGACTTAGCATGAATTTTAAAAAACAACCTGTTGCACACAAGAGATTCTGCAAACAATCATTCCTCCATTTTTGTTAAGGAGGCGTTTAAACAAACACAAAGAATGCTAAAAACATCCTGTATCAATATGCAAATCCAAGAAATAATGATATTTATGTGTAATGCGTGTAATGTACGAGCTTTGAGCAAACAGCTGTGAACATGCAGTACATGTAGCAGAGTATACGTATCACAGAGGGCGGTGCAGAGTCAAACGGTGTCTTCACAGTAGGCTGATGTGAAATACATTGCTGGAGAGTTATTGAACAAAGATCCAATCGTTTGACCCTCTCAGTATTAATACAAGAATCAGTCCGGATCTCCAATGTGCCCGTGGTGTGTTCATGAACACATAACGTATAAATATGAGCTGAACGTGTCTGAGCTGTAGTTATCAGTCATCCCTTAATCATCAACTGTTTGTGGTAAAGTTTTTGCTGCAAACCAAACTGAAGCAGAATCTACTGACGCGTGTCCAACCAAACAGAACCGGGCGGTTTAACAGAGAAGTCGTTATAAAACTACTGGGACCGAGTTGAAATAAACACAGTTAAATGTTGAACACGTTCCCAAATGTTTCAGATGTAAGATTGTAGGAAAAAAAAAACCAACAATAGTTAAACCTCCGCTTTCTTTCCTGCAGAAGAACGACGGCCGTTTCACGGTCATCCAGCTGGTGGGCATCCTGCGCGGCATCGCGTCAGGCATGAAGTACCTGTCTGACATGAGCTACGTTCACCGCGACCTGGCGGCTCGCAACATCCTGGTCAACAGCAACCTGGTGTGCAAGGTGTCCGACTTCGGCATGTCCCGAGTGCTGGAGGACGACCCTGAGGCCGCGTACACCACCAGGGTGAGTGTGTGTGTGAGTGTGTGTGTGTGTGTGTGTGGCCGACTGGCTCAGTGGTCTGTCTGCCTGTCACCTTACTTGTCAGCTTTCATAAATCAGCCCAACTTTCAATTACAGGGAGGGAAGATCCCCATCCGCTGGACGGCCCCAGAGGCCATCGCTTATAGGAAGTTCACCTCGGCCAGCGACGTGTGGAGCTACGGCATCGTCATGTGGGAGGTGATGTCGTACGGCGAGCGGCCATACTGGGACATGAGCAACCAGGACGTAAGTCTAACCAAATGTAATTATATACAGACAGTCATGAATAATGTACAGCTTTAATTAGTGTGTGATATTAGAGCAGCGTTCTGTCAAAGAGTTTTAAAAAAATCCTTCATCATTTTAACGCGGTTACATAATCAAATCCTGCAGAGGTGGTAAAACACCAGCAGTATATTCCCTTTCCTCATTACACACCGAATTCACATTTTCACTTCCACTACTAATGATAAGAATTTAATTTATTCTTAACCAAATGTCTTGCATGAGTGCCTAAAGTAAGGTAATTAAAAATTAAGTTATGTGTTTAAAATTAGAGGAAAAAAAACACCATTAGACTGCCTACAGTTTTATCACAGTTCAGCGCTTAACAGCAGCTCTGATCTACTCTGCAGGTGATCAAGGCTATTGATGAGGGCTATCGGCTGCCCCCGCCCATGGACTGCCCCGTGGCGCTGCACCAGCTCATGCTGGACTGCTGGCAGAGGGAGAGGGCCGACCGGCCAAAGTTTGGGCAGATTGTCAACATGCTGGACAAGCTGATCCGCAACCCCAACACCCTGAAGAGGACCGGGGGAGAAACCGCCGTCAGGTGAGAGGGCAGCACCGCAGACGGAGGATAAGTCGATGTGATGCTGAGATGATTTGTGGTTCAAATGTGGAGCTCAGAAGGGAGAAGGAACCCTGATGCACAGCAGATTAGTGAGCCCATATTTAATAGTGTCAATGCTATAACCCTACACTGTACCAGAGCAAAACATATGTTATTATAATAATAATCATGTTGTCACCTCATGGCTCGAAGCATTGGATAAAAAATCTAGAAACAGATCATTTTAGCAACAAGGAGTTATCAGAAGATTTTAGTTGTAGGTAAGCAAAAAAAAAAGATGGAAAGTACTATTAGAGGTAGAAAAATACAGAAAACCAGTTTGAATTTTTGAGTAATTTATTGTTAAACAGGTTAGTTCCATTTAATCGTACACTAAGGTGAACATAGAAATTACTGCTGGTTGTTGTTGGAATTTCACATTAAGTTCACACAGAGAATCTGGAAATACGTTCCCTTAATCGCATATCGACGGCTTCACCTGTCCAGCCTCATGCGTCCTGCACACATCACCTGACCGGTCACACGTCTCCCGTCCTGTCTCCGTTCTTTACATTCACCGTTAAACACCGTCTGCCGGCAGCGCGCGGCTCTTTTCAGCACAAACACCCTCCGTAATGGATTTCTCTGCAAACCAGCTTTAATGGCGCTGTACGCTTAGGAATGCAGCCGCTCTAGCAGGCGAGGGGGAGAATTACGATGTAACGCCGGCTTAAAAACAAACATGACCCTACATCTCCGACACCATTACTCTCGAGCGGCTAAACGTCTTAAGAGTGACCTATGCGTGTTTACAGACTCGACGCGGGCCGGCGGGAGTCTGTTTGAGTTTAACAAGTGTGTGAGCGGCGAGCAAACACACACACACACACACACACCTAACGGGAGGCGAGTCCTCGTGGAGTAATTAGCAGAGCTGAATCCTATAAATGCTGCTTTTACAGTTACACAAGTGAAGGAGAATGTGTGTGAAGAGGGATTCCTGCGCATAATCTTTTCCACGAGTAGAGACGACTTAATAAAGACTCCGACATCCCGCTCTCGCGTTTTAACTCGACATCCTTTTTTAAAAAAAAAGGAAAGTACGATAAAGAGAGAGTCACCGGAGCGGGACCAGTTCGCCGCCGCCTCAGACTCACTGGCCCCCCGTAAACGCTTCATGGCCGACGGCGCTGCTGCAACAGAACGGGTCAGAAACAGAGCAGCGAGGAAAAGAGGGAGTTAAATCTGCTGATGAATATCTGAATGTGACTCCGCCGTGCTGTAAAATTCACCCAAGTGTGCTCGGGTTGTGTGTTTTCTGTAAAATAAGGATTAACTAAGTGTGTCGGTCACACCAAAGAGGAACCGTGTTTGACTTGGCTCGCGCTCCGCTGGGAGCTGCTGCAAAACCAGAGGTGAATCTGACAAATGTGCTGATTCGATCAAGGAGGCAGATGTGCTGATTTAATCAAGGGGGAAACGATGGAGAGAAATGTAGCGTGGTGCTTTTTACAGCTCGTGGGCAGCTCCCTGTCATCGCCCAGAGTGTAATTTTCAAGCTTCTCTGATAGCCGGGAATAAGGAAAGTCATTCCCGTAAGGCTGCCGGTGGTGCCCCGGTCATCATGAATCAGTGGCGGTCCAGATTCCAGCCCATTACATCTGAAGTCAGAAACGCTTAAACAGAATGAGACTTTCAGACTGTAAATACAGAACCGCGCTGACAGCTCAGACGACATGTTGTAGGACCCAGAAAGTTTGGTTTGGTGAAATTAATTCTGTGTTTTGTCTCCTCCGCCTCATGCAGGCCCAACACCACCCTGCTGGAGCCCGGGAGCCCCGAGGCGTCCTCGGCTGTGGGCACGGTGGAGGACTGGCTGCAGGCCATCGGCATGGAGAGATACAGCGACAACTTCACCGCTGCCGGCTACACCACTCCAGAGGCTGTGGTCCACATGACGCAAGAGTGAGTCTCAGAATATAAAGAAAGAGGAATAAATAATGGGACAGCAAAGTTTTCCTACTGCACATGACAACGTTTTTATGTCACTCGGTGTTGGGCAGTAACAGAGGTACCATTAGAACATTTCTCTCAAACATTTCACAGCAGTTGGACCCAGTTTTCTGAGTCTTTTTGGAGTAGAACTGGACACCACTTCCCAACATGGACACATGTTCGTAGCCGAGAAGCACTTTCACACAAAGTCAACAGCTAACCAGTAGTTACTGATGTGTTTTTCGCTGTCTGAGGCAGAAAATTAAGAAAATTATTTCCAAAACCTCCCATAAGGCCGCTGCTTTAGCTCACCTGGTTGAGCTGGCGACCCGTGTCCGGGGGCTCTAGTCCCCGATGCAGCGGTCGTGGGTTTGAATCCCATTCATGGCCCTTTGCTGCAAACCCTTCCCCCACTTTCCTGTCTCTCTTTAGCTGTCCTATCCAATAAAAGTAAAAAGGCCAAAAAATAACTTAAAAAACCCATTAATATACAAGCTTCTCATGTGATAAACTACTTTTGCTGTGCTGCTGTAGGTTATTTTACTACATTTCCTTGGCTGTAGTTTAACTCATCACACTTTCCAAATATAAAGATTTCCTCACTCTGGCATCACTTGACAGTTGTAGACGTGTCTGTATTACACATAAATGAGCTCGTTATTGGGTTGGTTTGGATAAAAAACAACAAATTTATAATTTAAATAAAATAAAGTAAAAACGAATTTGCCCAAAGCTGTTTGTCACAGTTTATGGGCTGAATGATTGACTTTCCCTCTTCATTTAAACTCATTGTTTTAGCAGTAACATGCTTATAAATTGTACTTTTTATATGTATTTTATTGTTTGTATTTGATTTGTGATCACAGTATTTAAAAAATATCACAAAATGTGAATTAAATTACATTTTTCAATGTAATATTGCCTAATGTAAAAAAAATTCTCTTGAATCAAAATTTAACTTTATTTACTTTCTCAACAAGAGTTGGATAAGACGACTGATACCACTTTCATATATGATAAATATAAAGCTGTGTCCAGTAGCTAGTTGCTCAGCTTCATATAAAAAAATAACTAGCCTCCTATTTTTTAAAATAACAAATACGTTATATCTCATGTAGGACATGTGTACAACTCCCATGGTCCTCGTTTTCCATGAATGTTATGTTTAATTCATGCACAAACAGAAACGTAAACGAGAACATATCTGACATGTTTCTGTTCAGTTCCATCCTCTTCCTGCTTTGAGCCATTTCAGCCAGTCTCATATAAGCTGGACACCTGCTGCCGTCATATTAGCATACATGTGTTAATTGTTCCATTTAATTAGTCTAATCTGCAGCATCTTGAGCTAAGAATACACGCGCCCCAGTCCTCCTCACTCGTCTGTAATATTTCCATTAGTCCAGTTAAAATTGCAGGATCAGAATCGCAGCATTGGCGAGTAGAACTCCTCCAACAGCAGTTAAAGTGTCAGGCCCGGTTCCACTGGAGGCTGTAAAACCCATCATGTGGATCAGGCCTCGCTGTGTTTGTTATTGTTGTCTTCGCTCCTAAAAGCCCTCTTTTCTCCATCCTTTTCAGGGACATGGCACGCATAGGCATCTCCTCGGCAGCGCACCAGAGCAAGATCCTGACCAGCGTCCAGGGAATGCTGTCCCAAATGCAACAGATGCAAGGCAGAATGGTTCCCGTCTGAGAGATTCAAACAAAGAGAAAAAGGAAAAAGGAAACAAAGCGACTTTTGTTTCTTACGAAAAAATAAATAAATAACAAAAAAGATAAATATTAAAAAAAACAAAACAAAAGAGAGACAAACAAACTATGAAGAAATAGTTTACCTCATCCATGCACTTTAAATTGGATCTAAAAGAAAAGAAGACGTTGATGAAGAAGAAGAAGAAGAAAAAAGTGGTGAAAATGGCACTTTTTTTTTTTTTTTCTTTCCCTTTGCCCTTTTTGTTGTTTTGGAGAATGGGACGCTTCTGTCTGCAGCATTTCTGGATAGATGGAGGGACGGCTGGAAAAGTGCTTCCGAGAGGCCAATCTGGAGTGCCTTTAATGGTCTGGAAGGAACAGTGAGGGAGGGGGAAGCGAACCTTCCTCCTCCTCTTGGGCAGAGTGTTGTTTCTGGAACTTTCTTTCTGGAATAATCCGAGGAGCAGATTTTTTTGATTTCCTGTGACTGTGTTTATTGTACATGAATTATTTCTGTGGGACTCACGGGCTGCCCCGGCCACCATTGTTCTCTCTCTCAGCTGGATCTGTTTGATATCTCCCGGCCAAAACGGAGGATCCCAACCGTCAGATATAAACAGTGAATGTCTGCGAGGTTGAGGGTTGGATTCTGGGGGGAGACGGCGGTGCAGGGAGGGCTTATTTTGAGGAGCTTTTTGTGTTGTGTGCTCTGTTCTGGCCTTGTTTTTCTCCCAGAACGCTGTATTTTCTTGTCCTCAGGACGTTGCTGAGAATGTCTTTGATCTTCCAGAGGAGCCTTCCCACTCCCCTGTCTTCCCAAAAAAAAAAAAAAAAAAGCCCTCCGACACCTTCGATAAACACACAATTTGGATTCTTCCATTCATCCCCCCCTCACACTGCTGCAGGACCAACCGGCTCTTCCTCACCTCCTCTGATGGACGCCTGTTTGGACCAGTTGAATTGGCTTCGCAGACAGGACCAAGGAATTTATTGGCGAGATTTATCCGGACAAAAAGGCAGGACGGATGCAGAGTGAATCACAATCGTCAGCATCATCTTGGCCAGGAAAATAAACAAGAAAATACACGGAGGATTCCTCGAGCCGTCATCAAGGTGAGGATCGATAGTCTTTTATCATTCTGTCTCCAGCACCGGGCGCACAAACAGCTCCATTAACAAAACAAATAAAGAAATCGGATTAAGCCTCCCTTCATTATCACAGTGTGCTTCTAATATCAGCGACGTCTGTAGGAGTCATTAGACCCCCCCGACACCCCGTCACAGGCCCCACCGGCTCCAGAACCGTGTTAATTAACAGGCGAGTTGGCGCCACCTCAGGCAGCCGGAGCAGATCAATAGCCACTGGTCTGTGATCAGTCTGCGGGCCTGATGCCTCTGGCATATTAATGAGAAGAATTAATCAGCGGCTGACTCCCACTCAGCCGAGCACAGCCCGGCAGAGCTCAGGAAGGGAAGGTGCTCTTGGGTCTAACTTGTGGGCCAGAACAGAGAGTCTTTATTCATCTGGTGGACCGGCTTCTAGTCTGAGCGTCTTCTCTGGTTGACCCTCGGCCTCCTCTGGTTGGTCGAATAACACCCACCAACCAGGAAGCAGAGCACAGATTAGCTCCTTCAGCAAGTTCAGGACTGATCTCTGCTTCCATCAGGAGCTTAATTTATGCATCAATATTGATTTATTTGACACACTTAGTTGCCAGTTAATTATGTACTGTGAAATTAGCTAAAACTAACAGAGCCTAATAGAAGACTGTACCTCCGTGAGGACCGAAGCGTTTAGTTAAAGAGGCGCTGATTCAGTTTTATGGTCACTGTGGAGTCTCCGGTCGGTTCTGTTTATAGGTCTGCAGCTCATGAATGCTCCCATCATGATTCCTTTCATTTCCCAAATTCTTGTCTATAAAATTCTGAAAAAAATCACGTTATTATGTCCTCGAGGTTTCAACCACAGCCTCTACTTCCCTGATGAGGGTCTAATAAACGTCTCCCTGCGAGTTCGACGGCGTCTGATTGAAACTTTATTAGACCTCAGAGCCCGAGTGATGAGTTCACGCTGATTGTTTTGGAGGAATCGATGCGCCAAAATACAAAATGTTCGGCACATATACCAGGAAATTCTGAAGATCCTGAAACCAGCAAACACATGAGGATTTATTTTAGAGAAATCTTTGCTAGTCGGTATAATTTCTGTCGTTTGTCTTCCTGATTAATCAACTAACGATGTTTCTGATCATTCTCTTTATATTAGTGTGCATATAAAATATTAAAAGTAGTTTTTATTCGGCTGCTCGTCCAGCAAAGAAAATGTCGGCTGAAGCAACACCTGCCCAATCAGACGCCGTACCTGCTAGCCTCATTAGCCTAAACCAACTATAAATGAACAGAAAAACAGTATTTGCATCTTATTGAATCATTTTAAACTGGTCGCTTTACATTGAAATGATAAAACACTGGAAGCAGAGCGTTCCACATTCATACGATTTGTGAAGATGCCACTTTAGCAGCAGAACCACTGACACAGACGGATTAGCCTCCGTCAGTAGATGACGTGCCGTGTCGGTTGTTGAGCTCATAGAAAATACTGTTTGCAGAGTTCATGTCGACTTTTTGGTCGTCGGTTTGAACAGAATGCAGCCACACTGATCACTGATGCGTCTAACAGTCGCTGAACGTTAAAAATAGAGCGACTCGTCTCCGTCAGGGTTCAAAATGGTGGAAACATGGCGCTGCTCACAGGTGCTCTGTTCCTCCAACCGCCAAAACTAATGTGTCCATGGCAGCAGGTTTCCTCTGTATGAGAGCAACGCTAGCAGTCGTCAGAGCGACGAGGGCGTTTAAACCGACCGACCTGCTGATCTGGAGCCTGCAGTCCTAATCGTTAGCATGAAATCATTTATCTCATTAAAGAGAAAAAAAACAAGACATGAAACAGAACCTATGATAAATATTAGGCTGTAATTCATCTTTATTCCTCCCCGAGGAACGTCGACGACTTCACAAAGGATTTATTTCAGTTGGCAGATAGATCCCGGCGTTGGAGCCCCGGCCTGACGGAGAGCGTTCGTCTAACGCTCATTAAATATCTATCGGGGAGCTTTTGTTGTGTGCCAATAAGTCAAGGCCATGTTTCCTATCATGTGTACACACAGCAGCATGTGGCACACAAACGTTAACACACCGCTGCCTAGAAATCCATATTTACCCCCCCCTCAGCGGGTCACGGCGTCTGGATGCTCGGGTTCTGTTTAGCAGATGAGTCGAATGTTCCGTGGAGCAGCGTTGTTGGTCAGAACTGGATGCCAAGCAGAGACTGTTTATATTCAGAACCACCATGACTGATGCAGCCTCTCCTCTCCCTCCCTCGCTTCTTTCTCCACAGCTGCTGCCGTCCATCACAAACAGGATCCCGGCCCTCGCTCGCCACCGCCACAATCCCTCTCCCGCTCTTCCTCCTTTGTCTTCCTCCTCCTGCTCAGCCCCTCCTCTCCTTTTCGGGGTCACCGAGATGACAAGTCCATCCCGCCGAGCGTCCGGGACGAGCTGACAGACTGGCCGCCCGGCGCTCGTGGCCGTCCGGCGACGTGCTGGAATTACTATGAATGATTTAACAGCATAAAAAAAACAACAAAAGAGACAATAAGAAGAATGTAATATAATGGAGAAGCCCTGCTCCAGCCGATAATGTACTTTTTTTGTTTTTGTTTTTTTGGAAAGTTTCATTTTATTTTGTGAGTTTTTGTTGTTGTTTTTTTTTATTGTTCTGTTTGCATGTAAAGTAACAAGGATTTGATTTGAATGCGATGGTGTGTGTGTGTGTGTGTGTGTGTGTGTGTGTGTGCACGAGCGAGTGTGTGGAGTGACGACGTCTTTGAAGTACTATCAGTAATCGTGTCTGTTTTCATGCCACTGTGGAGGAAGAGGAGGAGATAACAGAGTTGTATAGTTTTTGATATAAAAAAAACAGAAAAACCCTGGACTTATTTTTCTTTTTTTTTTTCTTTTTTTTTTGGCTTTTTGTGTCGTCTAAATAAACGGTGTGTTGCTCACGTTGTGCAAACTCTACTCGGCAACAGCATTTATTAAACAGCTTTCTGGAATGCGACCCATTTCTGCTTTTGGCAGCGACGGCGGCTTGGACACGAGTGTGACTAAAAGCCTCCTGCGCATACAAACACATCGGACTCGAGTTTGGACTCTCCGAGCTTCACGACAAGTCGAGGAGGAACCGGTTTTGAAACTACATCCCCTGTACACAGCAAAGGATCAGAAAACTGAGGAAAGAGGCGTTGAAGAAGGGAAAACTGTGGGTTCTTTTTTATTCTTTTCTCCAGAGCACATCATACAGCTACAGGTTTAACCCAATGGACTACGTTCCTTTTGTTCCTTTATCTTTTTAAACTATACTTATGTGAATGTTTTTGAACTCGTAAGCGACGCTTCATATAATACAAAAACACCTCCGTCCTTAATACAGCTCTACTGCTCTTTCCTTTTTTTGGCGATGGTTTTTTTGGGGGTTTATCTATCGAAAAGGACCTGTTTGGAAATATGCAAGACATGTTGGGAAAGGAGAAGGAAACCAGAATGTACTGTAAAATACTTTTTTCCTTTACTTAAATGTCGGATGATTTGAAAAGACAAAAAA